CTTGACCTTGTACACAGCTAGGCGGCTAATTCCAAAGGCCAGCAGCAAACCCCCTGACTCTTTAAGGCCATAGACATGTTCGCTGGGCCCAAAGTAAACTGCAGCAAGGGGGGCCCCCCCACTGGGGGCCCCACGGGGAGCCCCACAGGAGGCCTCATTGGGGGCCCCACTGGGGGCCCCAAAGGAGGCCCCCTGTGGGGGGGCCCCAGAAGGGGCCCCACAGGGGGCCCCATAGGTGGGGGCCCCGCTGGAGGCCCCACAGGGGGCTCTAGGGAGGGCCCCGTCTTTGGGGCTGCAGGGGCCCCCAGAGGGGTCCGTCGGGGGGTCTTGGGGGCCCCTGGGGGCCCCCGGAAGGGACTCTTGGGGGGCCCCCAGGGGCCCCTGGCGGAGGCTGTAAACCCTAATGGTATTTGCCACTGCAGCAAACAGAAGGGCCCCACACTCAGAGACACAAAGGGCTTTGCAGCTGCCGCTGCTGCTGCCCCTCTGCAGCCAAACCCTCTCTTGCGGGGGGCCCCCGGGGGCCCCCGAAGGGGCGGGGGGCCCCCTGGGGGCCCCCGGGGGGGCCCCCCAGGGAAGCCCCCTCACAGTCTCAGAGGGGGCCCCCAAACTTGCCATCAGCTATGGGGGCCCCTCAAGAATAGCAGAAGAGGCAGGGGCCCCCAAGAAGACCGAAACGCGTTGGGGGCCCCCCGGGGTCCAGAGGCACAAAAACCCTAAACCCTAAACACTAAACCCTAAACCCTAAATTTCATACTGCAAATAACAAACCCTAAACCCTATATGCGCATTTATGTAGGACTAAACTTGGCAATGAAAACTGGCAGCTGCTACGGGGCCCTCTGGGGCCCCTCAGGGGCCCCACAGGGGCCTCAGGGGCCCCACCAAGGGAACTAAACCCCAACCGTAAACCCTAAACCCTAACCCTAAACCCTAAACCCTAAACCCTTATGCCTTCCTAATTCCAAGTTGTTTGAAACTGGGCACGCTAAACGTTAAACCCTAAACCCTAAACCACTACACGTGTCCCTTGCTCTGTTCATGGCTGAACGAAAATCCCTAAACCCTAAACCCTAAACCCTAAGAAATGAGCCCTAAGCCCGAAGATCTAGACTCTGGGCCCCAAGCCCTAAACACTAAACCCTAAACCCCAAACCCTAAACCCTCGCGAGCTCCAGATCGCCGTTCCCCGAGGCCGCTAAAACCCTAATCCGCGTAATTAGGGTTTAGCGTTTAGACTCAACAAGGGTTTAGGGTTTAGGGTTTTGGGGTTTCAGAGAGAGAAGCAACCACCACCAAAAACCAAACCCTG